CCTCCTCCCAAGCGGACTGAAAGCAGCTGGGGCTGAGGAAATGAAGCTGAGCGGAGCCGAAGCGACCTCGGCTCGCGTTGTTTTATGAGCCCGCGAGCCTAGAGCTCAGAAAACAATGCGAGCCGCCGCCACCACCTCCTCCCCCTCCTCCCGAGCGGACTGAAAGCAGCTGGGGCTGAGGAAACGAAGTTGAGCGGAGCCGAAGTGACCTCGGCTCGCACTGAGCCTAGAGCCTAGAGCCAGGGCGCTTTCATTGCACGGCGGAGCTTCTTGTCTCGGGAAACACCGGGCGTCGTTGCTGCCCCGAGGGGAGGGCGATTCTGGGCTGCGCGATTGGGGGGACTTCGTGGCTTTGGGTGGGTGGGTGGGTGGGAGCCAGGACATTGACTTTAAGCGCTGCCGACCAAGTGTTTCACAAATACCAGTGGGACCTCTATCCACCACCACCCCTCCCTCTTTTGCCTCCTTCCTTCTGATCAATCAGGTTTTCCCAGTATTTGCTCACAGCTGCGTGCTAGGCTTTGAACGCGGGGATTTCTGATTCCCCTTACACGTGCGTGGATATGCCGCGGGGCGTTTTCTTCCACCCCACGGGCAGAGAACACTGACTTTCATGATAGTGAGATCATTTCCCAAATTAATTGATTCACTAACCCAAAAGAAGAAGATGTTGATGACAGTGGGAGGCAGGGGTCACTCTCCCTTGCACGAAAAAAGCAAGAGCCGTTCTTATGATCTCTCTCTCTCCCGTAATACGGTCAAGCCCTTTCCAGCATGCGCGATCCGCCCCCGCCGCTTTGCACCTTGCAAATGCAAAAACCCCGGGATTTTGCATTTGCAAGGTACAAAGCTGCAGCGGCAGATTGTGCGTGCTGGAAAGGGCTTGACTGTATTACAGGGAGAGAGAGAGAGAGAGAGAGAGAGATCATAAGAACGGCTCTTGCTTTTTTCTTGCAAGGGAGAGAGTGACTCCTGCCTTCCACTGTCATCATCATCTTCTTTTGGGTTAGTGAATCAATTAAACCTTTCATGATAGTGATATCGTTTCCCAAATTTCCCTTAAATCAGGGAAGAAATCACAAAAAAACCTTTGGACTGAGAATAAGCCTGTTCCTACGATGCCATTTTTGTTCACTGCAGTGTGAAAAGTGTGAAAAAACACACTTCTTTTTCTTCATCTTCTTGTTCCCTATTTACTGGTCTCTTTCAAAGAGGAAATTGTGAACATCAAACTTATTCTCAACTGTCCTAGTGAAAGTTTTTATTGGTATCTATTTTTATTTTTCAAATTTACCAGTAGCTGCTCCATTTCCCACCCTCGGCTTATACTCGAGTCAATAAGTTTTCCCAGTTTTTTTGTGGTAAAATTAGGTGCCTCGGCTTATATTCGGGTCGACTTATACTCAAGTATATACGGTAATTATTTTAAAGATAGATTTTGATATTTTTCAATCCAACCATTTAATTGACATTAATAGAAACTCAAGTTTTAAGACAAATATTGTTTTAGTTTTTCTATTTTATTTTTTTACTTTTGCAAATGGAAATATCTTCCTATAGTGATATTGATTAAGAAATCATTATCTCAGAAATATATGTACAAATACACATTGTGTTGAAATATCCTTCCAGACAAGTCATGGTAATTGGTGACATCTATATCAGTTAATCAATTAATCAAAATCATGTTTTTCTACCATTTTTAATGCTTTTATTTACCACATCAATTAAACAAAATAAAAAATAAAAAATAAAATTACTGACGAATGTGTTTTGCCATATAGCAGTAAGAATTAGATATCTGAAATCAACTTTAAATTGCAAAAAAAGAAAAGAAACCCCACCTGTGGAAAGGAAGGTATAGAAGCTGCACCTCTATTGAATTTACAATTTAATTGATAAAACAGGAAAGGGCATCTCTAGAACTGAATGTTGCTGACAACCATCTAGCAGATACTTGAATTTTTCCTTTTTTATACCTTCAAGACAGTAAAATCATGACAGCCAGAGAATCCAGGGTAGATTATAATATATGATTTAACTGAGCTACAGGGTCTCAGATTTGCTTGGTTTAAAATCAGGGGGGAAATAAAACCAATATCATTCTACTCCTTCCTAAGGTATGCAGAAACAAGAAATAGTATGCAAAAGGTTAGATGACAGCTCTGTAGTCCAGAACAATTACTGTGATCCTGATAGTAAACTACCAGAAAATCAAAGAGCCTGCAACACTGAGCCTTGTCCACCTGAGTAAGTACTTCTTTGTTCTATTCCATGCTATTTATATATCCAGACTGAAAGTACTGCAATGGGACCACAGGGAAATTAGTCCAAAATTGAATTAAGAATCCAACCGACAATTATTATATATATAGCAATAGCACTTAAACATATATTGCTTCATAGTGCTTTACAACCCTTTCTAAGCGGTTTACAAAGTCAGCATATTGCCGCCAACAATCTGGGTCCTTATTTTACCCACCTCAGAAGGATGGAAGACTGAGTTAACCTTGAGCTGGTGAGAATCTAACTGCTGGCAGTTGGCAGAGTTAGCCTGCAATACTGCATTCTAATCATTGTACCACCATAGCTCTGAATATAACTTTTCAGTGAATGAATGAAATTATGTATTTTTGTGGCTTGCTAATGCAAGTGACCTGCCATTTTATTAGTCATAAATAAAATATAAATAACTTAATGCTAATTTAATTAGCACTTTTTAAAATAACTTTTGAGAATTCACTGTTCCCCACAGCCTATCTCCTTGCAAATACTCTAGAAAGTCAGCTTGATGGATTTCATTACTAGCAACTTCTGTGATCCATTCTGGAACAGTAATATGCTTATCTAAATTCCACATGAGACTGTTGCAGGATATAGTTTGTAGGGTTGTCTTTGAAGACCAGTCATATAATGGATCCCACTTGATAAAAAGCATCCATGAAAAAACCTAAAACAACATGGATCAGTAACATCAGCAAGTACTGCGAGCCCAATTGGCAAAAGAAAGCTCAGGACCATATTGGTTGGAAACATACAGAAGAGGACTTCATCCTGCAGTGAATAGAAAATGGCTAAAATGATGATGATTATGATAGATAGACAGACAGACAGATAGAAATAGAGGCAGAGACAGAGATATATCTTCTAGCACACTACTAGAATAACCATCTAGGACAGATCTTTTCTTGTTTTAATAAATTTAATGCAGGATAGGAAGCACTAGAATAAATCTTGGGAAGCTATATTATGTAAAATATATTAATTTCTTCCTCAGTTATATTTGGCAGCATTATATAATTGAGACTAAAACTGTAAAAATTCTGATTTATTGAATCAGAACTGTTATATACAGTATTTTTATGCAGTATGTAGTTCTCTCATCGTTTCAGTTATACACATTCAAGTTGTATGGAGTAATAAATTCATTTCTTGAATTGATAATTTTTTTCTAATATTCTTTTGATAGATGGTTTATAGGCGATTGGTCAGAATGCAGTAAGACCTGTGATGGAGGAACGAGATCACGAACTGTTCTATGTATCAGGAAGATTGGACCTTCTGAAGAAGAGACATTGGAGAGTACTCATTGTTTAACACATCACCCAGTTGAAAAAGAGTCCTGTAACAATCAATCTTGCCCCCCACAGTGGGTTCCTTTAGATTGGTCAGAAGTAAGTGATCTTGAAAACTCCTTAAGTATCCACTTTACACTTATCAATACTGCAACAGGATATATTACAATGTATCTAACTTGCTACTCTAACTTACTAAATGTGATTATATTCCAGCACTCTCAAATTTCTGTCTTCTGTAAATCATGCATAGTCTGGGATTGCACAATATCCTAATGTAAAACTAAAATGGAACTACAGATAGTCCTCAAGTTACAACCATTCATTTAGCAACTGTTCATATTTACAATAACTTTGGAAAAAACAACTTACAACCAGTCCTTGTACTTAAACCCGTCACAGCAACCCCATGAGATCAAAATGTGAGTGCTTGGCAACCAGTATCATCTATTTATGACAATTACAGCATCCTGGAGTCATGTGATTACCATTTGCAACCTTTCAGTCAGCTTCTGATAAGAAAAGACAATGGTGGAGGGATTTAAATTTACTTAGCGGCCCTGTGATTCATTTAATAACTGCAATAATTTTAACAACCATGGCAAAAAAGTAGTAAAATCAGGCATCACTCACTGATAGGCAACTGCTTTACCTGTCAGCAGAATTTCTGGTCCTGACTGAGGTGGCAAGTCAAGGGCTTCCTGTATGTAGTTTGTAGCTGGCATTTTATGGGGAGTCATACTAGCCAATACTCTTTCAGCTATATTCCTTTAGTACTTCAAACAAAAATTGAGAAGCTTGTTATTCCATACTGAAAAAATGGATTCTTTTAACTTGATAATCCAAATTCTAAATTCAATATTAATATTAATTCAAAAGAGCTGATTCTGTGCACAGTGTTAAATAGTACATTTAATGAATTTGAATCAACATATTTATTTAATTTCATATTATTCCTTTACTGGACATTTCTTGAGCAATTTATAGTAACATTACATTTGTGTTAATTTATTTTTCAGTGTCTGTTTTGCATATTGAGTTAGAATTATGAGAATAGGAAGTGCAGGGCACTGAAGTGCAAGAATTTTTTTTATTCCCAACTAGAAATTCTTTCCTTATTTAACTGGAAATGAGATCCCATCTACCCCACATATTTTATCCTTATTCAAACCTTTCCAAGTTTCTATCAGCAGACAGATTAGCACATAAAGTTATGGTTTTAAATAATACTTAAAATTCTAAACTCTCCATCTACAAAAAACACAGATATGACCTAAAGTATTGGTACTTCTCCATTTCCCTTTCCCAAAATCTCAATTTATCATGAAATAAGTTGAAACTGATGCAAAGCAATGTCATTCACCATTCTTTACTCTTTAATCCATAGAACAGACACTTTGCTTTGCTTGTATGATTTACAACATTTTTATAGATAATAAAACCAATGAAAATGGTATGTGTCAATATAGATTTAAAGTTTTAATTTTACCTATTAAATAACATACTTCAGTGTACAGAGTTGCTGATATGTTATTGTGCCTTACAAGTGAATTAACCATTTCATTTGATGTAAAACTTCTAAAATATTTTTCAAGTTTACAGTATGTGCAATTATGGCACAATATCCAAAATGTTAGTGATAATGAATACTTTTAATATTACAATTTGTTTGCAAACTTTAGAATATATACTATAGTTTTTCCTTTTTAATAGGGCTATGTTGTTAATGTTTTCAGCTTTTCATAATTGAAAGTATTTGATTCTAAAAATCATGTGTGTGTTTGGCTTATAGTGTACTCCAAAATGTGGACCTGGTTTTAAGCATCGTATTGTTCTCTGCAAAAGCAGCGATCTTTCAAGAACATTTCCAGTTGCACATTGCCAAGAAGAAAACAAGCCTCCTGTCCGCATGCGCTGTAGCTTGGGCAGGTGTCCTCCACCACGATGGGTCACAGGAGACTGGGGACAGGTAATGTAGGCAGGCTTCTTGAATGTCTAAACTGGTCCTGAAGTTCAAGGACTAGACATGTGAGTCTTCTGCAACAATAACTAACATACAACACTTATGAATACATTTGCACTGATATATATGTTCATCGGCTTCTATAATGGTTCCCTCAAATGACTTTAGGTGAAAAAACTTGGGTATGACTTCACAGACCTCAGGAATAGATTTAAGAAGGAAAGCCTCCTTTTATTTCACATTGCCATATTCAAAGGATATTCTTTGAGGCTTCCGAATGGTCACCATGTGAAATAAGTATCTAACTGTTGCTTGCACAATAGTACAATAGTTGGTACAATAGATCTTTTTTGTTTGCAATGGAAAGAACATTTTGCAAAAATCCATTAAATGGTGTCTATGATGTATCTACTAACAAACAGCACATTTCCCATCTCATTTGCCTCTCTTATGTCAACAAAATAAAGTAGCAAAATTGCATGACTCTGTTTTCAGTGACAGCTATTAGCCAGTATATAGTAAAAAAAAATTCAAAAAACAACTCTGCCTGTTAAATGGATACTTCTCTTATCAACCAGTAATGCAGGAGGTTCCATTTCCTTATTTCCAGTCATTACCCTTTTTAATAAGAACAGTTGTGTTTGCCCACCATAGCTAGCTTTTCAGCCTAGATTTAATGAAACTGCTAACTAGCAATTATTTAAAAAAGAAAGAAAGAAAAGCAGCATTTCTAACTGAAAACTGCTTCTGGAAGAAACAGAATAATAAAGAGGTGCTTAATATAGAAACAAAATATAGGTGATCCTCCCTTAACAACCACTTGTTCAATAACCCAGTAGTAGCTATAACTGGTCCTTAAAGTTCCAACCATTGCAGCATTCCCACAGTCACATGATTGCAATCTGGGCATCCAGGTTGGGATTACAAGGTCATGGTCACGTGATCACCATTTGTGACCTTCTTTATTGGCTTCCTACAAACCAGGTCACTTGAGAAACCAGCAGATGGTTGCAAATGGTAGCTATGTGATGTCCTTGCTTAACAAAAGCATGGAATTCTCTTAATGACGGCAACCAGAAGTATTGGAAGTGCAGTGAAGTTATGCAATATTATGCTTTATGACAGCATCGTTTGCAACAGAAATCTCAATCCCAATTGTGTTGTTAACTAAGAACTCCCTTTACACTGGCTGAGTTACATTGTGCAATGTAGCTCTAATCAGACTTCTACCACTGTCCTATATAGTGTTTCCACAAGCATTGTAAGTAAGTTTAGGATCTTATTGCTTTTTTAAAGTTATTTTGACATTTGTTCCCCCTCCCTCCTTTTCGTTTTTTTCTGACATAGTGTTCTGCACAGTGTGGTCTTGGACAACAGATGAGAACTGTGCAGTGTCTCTCATATACTGGGCAAGGCTCCAGCGATTGCCCTGATACTCTTCGGCCTCCATCAATGCAGCAGTGTGAGAGCAAATGTGACAGTACTCCTGTCTCTAATGCAGAAGGTAAAGTTGCTTTTGCTAATGTTATCATTTTAAAATATTAATATAAATCATAATATTCAGAATGAATTTTATTACCTAGCATGGTTGGTGCCCTAGAATTTTCTTTGATACCCATTGGAGTCCATGCTCCAGTTGACTTAATTTCTTTTAAAGATTTTTTTAAATTTAAGTTTAAATGATAGGCTATTTTGAAACAGGAAATTATCAGTTTCATCTTTGGCAAGTTTAGCTCATAAATGAATATAAACAAAATCTGGTTATCTAACAATGACAACTCATCACATTTAATATCCGTTATAACTCTTGTTAAACATTTAACTAGAAAATTACAGCATTTTAATATTAGTGGTTAAGGGCCAGATGAGAAACTGAAAGACTATGAATTCTATTGCTTGGGCCAATCACTGTCTCTTAGCCCTAGGGAGCAGACAGTGCTTTAAATAATCAGACATTACTTTTGTTTTTCAAAGTGAGATGTTACCACTGTGTATTTTGTGTAGTATATCTAATACTTTAAAATATTATAAATTTCTAAAACAGGCATTCATAAAATCAAGATAGCTTTGCTGTTCTTTTATCAGTCTTTGTACAGAAGTTATTTTTTTGGGTTGCTTTGTCTTTTAAAATATTTTAGTAGCTGAAAATTTGTTTTTCAGATTTAAATATTTCACAGAAGTCAATTGAAAATCACTTTGATCAGAAAGGGAATAGGAATGTGTGGACTTTTGTTAGAAACATTCTTTCCAGTATAACAATATATTCTACAAATGTTCTTCCATCTGCTTCAGGATAACTGTGGGTCATAATTAAGTAGAAGACATTTCAGTCCACCTGCTAGCCAGAACAGTGTCTTCCCTCAGCTTCTTTTTTCTGTATTGGTTTTAACCAAGACTGAAGAATATATTTGCAATCAGATCCAAATTATTTACCCACCCTTAGCTATATCCTATCTTTAGCTTATTGTCTCATTGGCTCATTCATTTTCATGCACCTGCCCTTCATTCTATGTCTTGTTATGACAGAACTATAAAAATGGGCTTGATATATTTTGGCTGAGATCCAACAAGATGTTTCTGGCGTGCTTTGATGTACCGAATTGAAAATAGGATATTTTCTTCTTTTGAATGGCAGGTTCTCTCTGGTGGCATGAATCCAAAGCTCCTTTAGTGATGACTACCTATTCTTTAAATCTAGTTAGAGATTTATTTATTTATTTATTTAATAGTATAAGAGTATATAAAGTGCTACAAAGAAACGTACGCAAGAGGCTGGGCCTTGCACAGAAGACCTTGCAGTCTCTGTAGGGAAAAAAGCAAAAAAGTTTGAATGGAGCCAGTTTACAAAATATGAGTTTCAGCAAATGCAGTTGTATATATATTTAAGCTTTGTTTCAATCTGATTCAAAGATTGTGACCGTAAGCCATGTGGAAATATTCATTTTGGAATGGATTTTGAAGAAAATAAACTTTTGACCAAACCCCTTTCTGAATGTTGACATTATTTTGTAGACCATAAGCTTTAGCAGAATAAGTGTAAGAAGCATTTTATTCAATGATATTTGTTTTTCAATATGCATCTTTTAAATTTATGTAACAATATAATCATTGTGTATCTCAAATAGAATGCAAAGATGTGAACAAAGTGGCTTATTGCCCACTGGTGCTGAAGTTCAAATTCTGCAGTCGAGCGTACTTCAGACAGATGTGCTGCAAGACCTGCCAAGGACATTGACCCACAGAAACTGAAAGTGCCTTGTTGCTTCATTGTGCAAATGTGTCCATCTAAGATTTCTGCACAGTGCAACCAGTCAGATAGTCTACATTCATCACCCTGTGGAAAATATAACCACTGGTCAGCTCCAGCTGACAGAATTGCAAAGTTATTTTAACTTCCGTGAAGTGGGATTTATTCATCCAAAGTGCTGGACACAGTATAAGGAGGCAATGCCAAAACGGAAAACTATACCCAGTACATAGCGGACATATGTGTACTTTCAGCTAAATCCCGTTTACCTCCTTGGACCATTAAAATAATTGTTATTATGGACCTAGCAGTGACACTGAATCCATTTGTATTTAATATTGTTCTTATGATTTGGTCATCTATAGAAGTAAAGAAGAATTTTAAAAACCCTATCATAGCTTATAATTAATAATTATTTTATCTTACTATATAGCACCACAACTTATGGTAAAGAAGTGGGCTTGGGAATATTATTTTAGAAGCAATTATAAATCCAAAGTAAAACGAACGTATTTTCCTTTGTTTCATCTAATTCTTTAAAGGATAATCCATATTTCCAGAGGATTGCAGTGAGCCATATATAAAGCTATGAAAAATGCATCAGGTATTTATTACCTAATTGCATCAAACAATAAATATGTGCTGCAAGTTTATAGCCATTTTGCCATTTTACAAATAAATCAGGATTTTTACTAAAGGGAATGTATTCATACTCCAATTGTGAAGAACCTATTTACTACTATTTCAGTACTTATGTAGAGAATGCTTAAAACAAATCTTCTCAAATTCACCATTTCTCCCTTCAGTTACAGAAAGGCATCTCTGTAGCAACTAATTACTGTGTAATTATCAATGATGAACTGGCTGCATAGCGGAGAAAAGTCTCTTCTAATAATCATGCTGAAACTCTTCTGGGTGTTCATTTCCTTCCTCACTGAAACAATAGAATGAGACAATACAAAGAAGAGAAAATATGAGTTTTTTTTCACTTTTGGACAGTTACAAAATAAACAACCAAAAGAACACATAACTGATAAAATATTTTAAGTTGGAGTGCCATAACTCTTATATTCACTACATCAGTCTAATAATATTCTGAAATGTACTTAAATGTGAAGCCAAGCTCCTTGGATTAAACAGATTCCAAAATCCATTGTGAGCTAAGCCTGAAGGCCATACTTCCCCCCACTCCTATTCCCTTCTTTGTCAGTGACACAACAAAGAGATAAGGAAAGTGGGTACTTGTTTATATTATTATATTGTACTTGAACACTTGCAGTTTGCAGCAGGTCCTTGATGAATGTGCTTTTGTGACCAGTTTGCCTCCTTTGTTGTAGTGCAATTGAGATGATGATGTGAACACCAACACCACCTTGTATTAATACTAGAAGTTAAATGGCACTTTTATAAAATAATATTCTTAATGAGACAAGTTTTTTAACATGTTATGGTATCTAAATGTGTCAATATATTTAATGAACTGCAGTAAGCCAAATGTGTTGAATGATGCTTAACTAATGTGAATTAACAGGAAATAGAGAGAGAGAAAGGGGGGGGGGGAGAGAATTGTGCTATGCAGAAATCTTGACAATCCTTCTGTAGGGTTTTCTGTAGACCATAACCACCAAGCTCCTGTCAGTTGCTACCTCTTGACAGTCATCTCCACATACATGTGAGCAGAATTTCTTTTTGGCATCATGCCTTACCCGGAGCCATTTACTGCTCAGTTGCAATGCACACAACTGTTAGTGGAATGAATACTGAGGAAGGAAAACTATACACATTTAGGAGTTAATATGTAGGCATGAGAGCAACATAATAAGTGGGTAAATTACTTTGTATATTTGTTCATTAAGAAAATATATTGGTGCCAATATGCCTTGATTATGCAAAGGTATAACAGAAGAGATAGCTGTCATGAGGACATTTTCCAGGTAAGATACCACAATATAACATCCTCTGGTTCCTCTGAAACATCAATATATTTATTACTTAATGTGACTTTTCAACTAGCAAGAAATGATGGAATTTATTCTTACCTCATTTAGGACATTGCCTTTGCAAAGACTGCTTTTGCAAGCATATTTTGCTCTTTCATTGGTGCTAGATGACCAGGGAGTCCAATGTTTACTTTGAAGTGTAAAAAGAGCAATGAGTTGGAATTTAAGAAACTCTTTCCTTGGAGCAATTTTGACTTGCATTGCTAAAAGGAAAAAAAAACACAGAATGTATTTGAATTATGAATGGACCAATATATATATATATAATGTCTCATCCCAGTAAAATTCTGAATAAAAAATCAATCATTTGTTCTGACAGCACAGGCCATTGTGGCTGCTACACAACAGCCATTTATGTAATTATGATGAAATAGACCAAGTATTATATTCATAAATAATGACAACATGATGTTTGTATAGGCTGCATCAAAATGGGAAGACTAACAGTTCTGGGGCAGATATTAAACACAATGTGCTGTTGGTTTTTCCATTGAGCAATGCCACCAGTTAAAACTATCTGACTCAGTACAATTCAGTCAAAGTATACATCCAGGTTTTTTTTTTTAGAAGGGTTCATTGATGCTATGGATAACAAAATTTTCCTTAACAATTCAGAATGAAAATGAATTATTTTATTGTGATTATTTGCTTCTTGTTTTATATTCAGTATTATGTGGTACACTGTTACATTGTTATAATTGTTTTTGCTTTTGTAAATTATATGCTAATTTATTTCTGTGTTGTCTAACACATGTTCTTACATGTCATGCATTCTGCTACTTGTAATACTTAATGCAGTAAAATCCACACCAGGCACAGATTTGTTTTTAACACAGATAATTTAGTAAAATAAAAAATGCAACTTTTAAGAATGAGCCTTATGGTAACAATCTGTTCACTGACATGCCTGCGCAAGAATTTTGCAAGCACAAATATTTACATTGTTGAAAGCACTTCTGAAAGTATATTTACTTTTTGGTTAAAGATACATCAAGTAATGTTTCTATGCTGTCTCAGTACTTGGCTATGATTGCCTTTGGGTGTGATATGGAAATGCAATGCAGTAAACTAAACTACCAACTATTGCTCCTTCCAATCTATTTCAAAAAGACCCCCATGTAGACTATAGTTAATTCATATTAGAAACATTTTCTGGACTCTGATCACATTGCTTTCAGGAGATTTTGTTTGTTGGTTTGTTTGGTTAGTTATTTAGCAGTCTAAACCAGCATTCCTTAGCCTCAATAACTTTTAAGATGTGTGGACTTCAGCTCCTAGAATTCCACAGCAATTTGGTTAAGGTTGAGAAACATTGGTGTAAATGGTAATTAAACTGTCAGGAGAATGATGGGATCGGAGACAGATGGTACTGTGGAGAAAAAATTTGGGTGATTGAACATTCCCCTACTTCCCCCAATGAGATGCCCGTAATGTTGGCGTAGAGATATTATTATTTCTAAAGTTGTCTTATCTTTTCACTAAATACAGAATGAAATAGTTGAAGAGCATATTAATTTCTAACTTTCACTTTACCAAAATAAGTTTCGTTTTGTTTCTTTTTCCATTTATTTTCTGTTGACTGCTTGTGCTTCCTATTATTAGTGAATATTACACAAAGCAAAAATACTGAAGCATAGTGTTGAAAATCTTATCTTGCCTGATTCTATTGCTTCCTCAATTCTATTTCTATCACTGTAGTTATTAGATTACAAATACAACCCCTGACATTTTTAACCTTACCAGTTTGATTTTTAAAGTTTTCTTTGCTAAGATAGGATCTGAATGCATACTGATAACATTGGTGTCAAGCACCAGGTAAATCAGGAGACCAGGCAGTTCAAATGTATATAAAGATTTATTGTAAGCTTAAGCTTTTTATAAAGATCTGAACTACTTATTTGAACTACTGGATCTCCTAATTTCCTTAGTGCTTGATATTAATCTGAATTACTAACAGTCAAGAGAAATTAGTTGGAGTTAAGAATAGAAAGGAATTCAAGGTGGGCTGGACTTAGATCTCTTGGCAGGTGCCCTGGAACTCATGACTGATGATGTATTTGACCCAGTGGTGGTATTCGACCGGTTCTGCCCAGTTCTGGAGACCTGGTAGCGGGGATGAGCAGCGGAGACAGAACCGGTTCTCTCCACTGCTCTGTGTTTGATCCACCTGCCCGCCTGGACTCCCATACTCACTTTTATGGCCAGAATTCAAAGTGCAGCTGCTTTGCGCAGTGCAGAATAGCTCCACGTGGCAGCTGCTGCAGCAACCAGCATCGTGCAGGCTTGCAGGAGACGAGTTAGAACGCCTCTGTGCCTGCGCAAATGTTTCTGCGCCTGTACAAAGTGCACATTTGGTGTGCATGTGCACGCAAAGTGTGTGCACATGCGCAAAGCGCCCACCAAGCCACACCCAGCAAACCGGTGGCAATTTTATTTGAATACCACCACTGATTTGTCCCCTCCCTCAAGCTCAGCCTTGTCATCTCCTACAATTGGGACATTAGTCTGAGTAAACCTGCATAGAATTTGCCTATATTATTTAACAAATTATTTAAATTGGTAGTTTTAAAAACAAATTGCAAAACCTTATAACCTATAATGTCTTTCCCTTCCTAGAATTATATTTTATTATTTATTTATTTATTCAGCTTGGGTGTCACCCAACTCCACACATTGCTGGATGTCTCACAATAATAAGAGTAACATAAAAACAACAAAATTTTGAACAATAACTGGAATAAGTATAAATAAGTACAAAGTGGCAATCCAAACAACAAAGCAAAACAAAAAATATTGCAAACAGTGGAATGTCATCCATTCTACCCAAAGATTTGAGTAACTATCCAGAGTTTCAAGAAATCCCATCAAGGTGGGATCCATACAGATCTTAGGGAGGACCTTATTCCAGAAGGCAGGGGCACTACTACAGATATTTTAAGATGTTCTTATGTTTCTTTGACATCTTCTAATAGAAAATTCTTGATTCTTCTTTAACAAATGTTTAAATCAGGAG